TTGTTTTGTTGTTTTTTTGTACTGGGGATTGAATCCAGGGCCTTCACACTGAGCTACATCCCCACCTCACCCCTTTTTATTTTTTTATTTTGAGACTAAGTCCTTAAATTGCCCAAGCTGGGCTTAAACTTCTGATCCTTCTGCCTCAATCCTCCCAGAGCCTAGGATTACAGGCATGCACCAACACCCAAGTCATTGAGCCTTTTTAACACAACAATCTCCAAACTAGGCATAGTGGTGCACACCTGTAATCCTAGCACTTAGAAACCTGAGGTAGAAAGACTGAGTTCGAGGCCAGCCGGGGTGACATAACATAGTGAGACATTGTCTCAAAAAACAAAACAAAAAACCCACACCCCACCCCCCTCCCTGATGTAGTCTCTACCACCATCTGACAAAACTATATATTCCACTTGTTTACTTATTTATCACCTTCTCCTTCTGCCAGAATATAAGCTCATAGCAGAGTTTCACGATGAACTCGAATGTTTGGCAGTCTTTGTCTATCTTGGTTACATATATTCCCAGCAACTATAATAGTACCTGGCATATAATAGATACTCAATAAATGTCTGTTGCATGAATCTTTCAAACTAATCCTAGATTGTAAAAATTATTACCATTTCCCATTTTATAAAATAAGGGGGCTGAAGGGCCGGGGATTTAGCTCAGTGGTTCCAGCACCTGCCTCGAAAGCGCAAGGTCCCGAGTTCAATCCCTGGCACCAAAAAAAAAGAGGCATGCACCACTATGCCTGGCACTTTAAAATAAGGGGACTTGGGCCAGGGATTTAGCTCAGTGGTTTTGCCACGTGCTGCGCAAGCACAAGGACCTGAGCTTGATCCCCAGTACCAAAAAAAAAAAATTTTTTTTTAATAAAATAAAATAAGGGGACTTGGGCCTGGGATTTAGCTCTGTGGTTCTGCCGCCTGCCTCGCAAGCACAAAGACCTGAGTTCGATCTCCGGTACCAAAAATAAAATAAAATAAGGGGACTGAAGCTCTGACAGGTTAAGTAACTTGATCTATATCCCTCAGCTAGAAGCCAAATCCCTTGGGAGACCACTCAAGGGTCTCCCAAAGTCCACTGTATTTTAGATGGTTCACAGACGGGCTTTTAAAAACACTTAAAAAATAGTGATTGCAAAAACATGAATAATTCTTGACCTTAACTCATAATTTACCCAAAATAGTTTATGGACTTAAATGTAAAACTGTAACACTTTTAAGAGAAAAAAAAACAACAGGAGAAAATTTTGGGGCATATGGTTAGGCAAGGAATTCTTAAACTTGCCACCAAAAGCACAATCCATAATAGGGAAATTTGATAATATAACTATCAAAATTAGAAATAGCTAAAAGTTCATGTCAAAAAGATGAAAAAGCAATACACACACTGGAGAAAATATAAACTGTACATGCATTAAAGGACTGGCATCGGGCCAGAGATTTAGCCCAGTGGTTCTGCCGCCTGCCTTGTAAGCACAAGGACCCAAGTTCGATCCCCGTACCCCAAAAAAAATAAAAATAAAAATAAAGGACTGGCATCTAGAACACTTAAAGAACCCTCAAAACTCAACTCTAAAAAAGAAAGAATACTATTAGAAAACGAGCAAAGACCTGAGCAGACAATTCATTGAAGTGGTTACACAGATGGCAAAAAGTATGTGAAAAGATGTTCAGCATCACCAGGCATTAAAGAAATCCAAATTAAGACTGTGATGGGATATCACTTATACATCTCTCAATATCTGAAATAAAATAGTGACAACACCAAGTGCTTTCTGCAAGGATGCAGAAAACTAAATCACTCACATACTGTGGTGAGAATGTAAAACAATCAATTGCACTCTTGGTCATTATTCCACAAACATGAAAATTTATGCAAAAGCCGGTCTATTAATTTTCACAGTCTTGACTTGTAATGGACAAAAACTGGGATCGATCCAGAGATCCTTCTACAAGTAAATGGTTAAACTGTGGCATATCCATACTCATCAAAAAGAAAAAATGAAGCACTAATACATACACAACAACTTGGATGAATCCCCAGAGTAGTATGCTGAATTTTTTTTTAAAAAGCCAACCTCACTAGCAACATAGTTCAATGGGGAAAAGAACAGTATTTCAACAGTGATGGGATAACTGGATGTCCATATGCCAATAAATGAAAGTGGATTCCTACTTGACACCATATACAAAATTAACTCAAAATTAATCAAGGACCTAAATATAAGAGCTAAAACTATAAAACTCTCAGGGAAAAAGCACAGAAGTGACTTCTTATGACTTCAGATTAGGCAATGGTTTCTTTTATATATCAAAAGCACAAACGACAAAGAAAAATAGATAAATTGAGCTTCATCAAAATAGAAATCCTTTGCTTAGCATGGTGATGTATGCTTATAATCCCAGAATTAGGAGGCTAAGGCAGAAGGATCATGAGGCTAAGGCCACCCAAGGCTACATAGTGAGTTTAAGACCAATCTGTACCACACAGTAAGATCCTGTCTTTTAAAAAAAAGGAAAACTGTTGTGCTTCAAAGGGCACCACCAAGAAAAGGAAATCACAACCCCCATAAAGGGAGAAAATATGTACAAAGATATCTAATAAGAATCTAGTTTCCAGAATTATGTAAACTCTTACATGCAACAATACAAAGACAACCCAATTTAAAATGAGCAAAGAACTAAAATAAATAAATAAAATAAAATGAGTAAAGAACTAAAGAGATATTTCAACAAAGAAGATACATGAATGACCAAAAAGCACATGAAAAAGATGTTCCATATCATTAGCCACCAGAGAAATACAAATAAAAACAATAATATGACACTATTTCATGCCCACTGGGACAGTAATAATCAGAAGACACATTATATGTTTGTGGGCATGTAGAGAAATTGGAACCCTCATCTTCTGCTGATGTGAATGTAAAATGGTATAGATATAGTGAAAAGAATCTAACAGTTCCTCAAAGGTTAAACATCAATTATGATATATTTGATATATACTCAAAAGAAAATATATTCTACATAAAAACAAGAATGAATACAGAATATGAATATTCATAGAAATGCTGCTCAAAACACCCCAAAACTATAACCAACCCAAGTGTCCATCAACTAATAAATGGATAAATAAAATTTATATAATGCAATATTATTTGCCCAAGGAAATAGAAGGCTGATACATACTGCAACATGGATAAACCTTGAAAACATCATGTTAAATGAAAAAGCCAGTCACAAAAAAACTACATATTGAATGATTCTATTTATGTATGATGTTTAAAAAGAGACAAATCTATAGAGACAGAAAGTAGATTAGTGTTTGCTTAGGGCTAGAGGAATTAGAGTGAAATGTGAGTAATTGTGAAAGGGTACAAGGTTTCTTTCTGGGGTGATTAAATACTCTAAAATTGTGTTGATGGTTGCATAACTCTATAAATATATTTAAAACCACTGAATTGTACACTTTAATGAGTGACTTGTACGACATGTGAATTACATTGCAATGTTACCAAAAAAGACACAATTCAAAAAGGTTATAGATTTCAAAAGGCATGATTTCATTTATGTAACATTTTTGAAATGACAAAGCTCTAGAAATGAAGAGCAAACAGATCGGTGATTACCAAGTGTTGGGGAGGGAAGGATGAGAGACACGTGAATGTGACTATACAAGGGCAACACTAGGGTTCTGAGGTGACTGAACTGTTCAGTATTTTGACTATAGTGGTGAACACACAAACCTATAGGTGTGATAAATGGTATAGAACAAAATACCAGAGATACACCCAAACAAATACAAGTGAAACTAGGAAACTGAATAAGATCTATCAGTGTGAATGTCTTGATTGTAACATCATACCATAGCTTTGCAGCGTTACCACCAAAGAAAAAAACAGTATAAAAAATTTGCAGGGAATCTCTCTGTATTTTTCTTATAACTGCATACGAATCTACACTCAGCTCAATGAAAGGTTCAATACAAACAAGATATCACAAAGATCATTGAGATCACAAAGAACATTGTTCTCAATTTCTCTTCTGATGAACTGAGTCCCCTTTGGTGCAGGTATACAGTGGATCCTAACAGTGACTACTTCACCCTTTCTAGCAAGGTGGAGCAGGCTTCCGCCTCAATGCCCAGATTAGAGAATCCAGCGAGAATTTATCAAACACTTTTATTTTATGGTATTTAGTTGTATATTTTATCTAGATGACATAAAGTAGAATTAAGAATACAGATTCTAGGGCCAGGGATTTAGCTCAGTGGTTTCGCCACCTGCTGCACAGGCACAAGGACCCAAGTTCGATCCCCAGTACCAAAAAAAAAAAAAAATACAGATTCTGGAGGCAGCCAGCCAATTCCATTTCTACCACTTACTAGCTGTGTGCCGTCACTTAATATCTCTGTACCTCAGTCACCTCATCTGTAAAATGGGCATAACAACAGTTTCTCTATCATGGTGTTCTGGGAAGTTTTATTTTTTGTTTCTTTGGGGTTTTCTGTCTTGGAGGATTTTTTTATGTTTTATGTATAGTTTTTGTTTGTTTGTTTTCTGGTTTTTGAAGGATTTTTGGGAAGGGGCTGCAATACTGGGAACTGAACCTGGGGCTTTTGCACTGAGCTAAATTCCCAGGCCCTTGGTATTTTTTATTTTGAGATAGAGTCTCGCTAAATTTTCTCACTGGAATTTTCAATCCTCCTGCCTCAGCCTGTCACAGTGCTGGCATTACAGGTGTGTACCATCATGCCTGGCCCATGTTTTAAATCAATAGATGTGCGTAGACACATATGTTTAAGAGACCCACACAAAGTATTAGCTATAATTACCATTACCGTAACAAGGGTTGAATAAAAATAATAACTTTTAGAAGCACAGATCCGAGCCATACTACCTCTTGGAATGTGCTCCTCTCCTCCTCCACTGCCCTGAGCCCATACCCGCTGTCCAGAGAGACCCTGGGGCAGGAGATAGCAGGTGCACCCACCTGCACACTTCGTGCGGCTGAGGAGTGGTGGCCCAGGGCGGCCAGTGCCCCCATCCCCTGGGCGGGTGAGCAGCACGCTGATCTCATACTCTGTGTCAGGGTCGAGGTGCCACAGCTTGTAGGTCTGCAGGCTGACAGCATGCACCTCGGCCCAGGGTCCACGGGCCATGCGATACTCGATCTCCTTGCGCACAATCGGCCCATCACCGATGATGGAATTGGTGTTCAGCTGGATGATGAGGTAGGTAGGGCCCGCACGCAGCAGCTGTGGGGGTGCGATGGGAGTGGGGGGCTCTGCGAGGAGAGAGGAAGAGCCAACTGATGCGCCTGAGATCCCAAGCCTCAACTCCATACCCCTACCACAGCCACAGTCCCAAGACTCCTCCCGGTCCTCCAGACTCCTCACGCTGCTACCAAGCCCTCAAAGGACGGATCCGCTCTTCAGCCTCCACTAAATCTCCAGCCACTAATGGACATCTGGCTACGATGGCTGACCCGCCCCCACCCACTCCCTCAAGCCCCTGGGGGTCACCCAAGTCCTCGCTCTCCCACCCCCCGCCTCCGGTGCCTGAGCGTACACCAACTCCAGTCAACATCTGGAAGACACAGCCAGACTCTATCTCATCTAGCTTTCACCTGGCCCCCATCCCATCAGCCCCGCCCCTCACCCAGGCCACACCCCCACTGGGGCCTGCCCCCTTCATCCTCAGCTGGGATCAAACAGCACCCTTCCCGCAAGTCCACTGAGTCTTACTGACCAGCCCCGCCCAGCCCCACCAGACTTTACCCCTCCCCCTCCGCCGGCCCCGCCCCTAGGCCCTAGCCCGCTGGCTGACCCTTGACGATGAGCTCAGCGAAGTTGGAGACACCAGTGCCGCGCGGGGCTTGGGACACGCAGCGGTACAGGTCTTGCTCCGCGCGGCCCACGGCGGGCAGCGTGAAAGTGGCCAGGAAGCGCCGATGGCTGATGTGACGCACAGTGGCCGCGGGCACCAGAGCCCCGCTCTGCCGCTGTGGGGGAAGAGGGGTCAGAAGATCAAGGGCACCACGGACAGAGGGACCCTGGGCCAGGGTGAGGCGTTATTGTTCTGGCCCCAATTACCCGTCCCTTCCTGGAGCTGTGCTCTGCCCCAGAATAATGTGGGACCCAGAAGGGCAGAGCAAAGCCTGGGGACAGCCAGGACTCGGGTGCTCTGGTGCTGAAGTTGAGGGAAGGACTCAAGTTCACACCACCCTAGCCCTTAAGCCACAGGCTACTCTCCTCACCTGGAGGAGGAAGCGCTCTGCCTCGGCTGCTCGTCCTGCCGCCATGCACTGGAACGATGCGTTCTGCCCAGCATTGACCTCCACGTCACCCAGGCGGGAGAAGTGCGGGGCCTTTGCTGGGGGAATGGAGTCATGGCATGAGCTGGGCCTGAGACCCCTGCAGGCAGAACCAGCGGCTGCCCACACCCCTCACCCTGCACACGCAGTGGGCTGGGACTCACCACAAGGGTAGCTGAAAAGCAAGATGTCATCTAGGCCCATGTAGCCCCTTCGGTCAGGGGAGATGAAGGACTCAAACAGCACCTGGGGGAGGCAGGAGGGCCCCGTCACAGTGACATCCCTCCAGTCCTGCCTGGGGAGGTGCCCACAAGAGTCCCTTTTCGGGGGGCCCCAGAACTATCCTCAACAGCCCAGCTCACACTGACCCTCCCTACCAAGCCAGCTGGTTCGGGCCAGGGTGTCAGCATGCAGAGAGAGCAAGGTCAAGAGCAAGGTCAAGAAAAAGGCCTTAAAGGATCAAACTCTTCCCAACCAGACAGGTTTCCAGGTGGCACTGTTCCAACCCTCCCTTCCACAGCTATAGGCTACTCTTATTAACAATGACTTCTGATGCTAAAGCTAGATTAATCCAGACTAACTCCAACCTTGAGTACAAATTGACTCCTGACACTGAACACAGACTAATTCCAACCTAGTCGGAGCTCAAAGTGGTATCCCTCTGCCCTCACCCCCAGGCACAGGCTGACCACAGGCTGAACCCAGCCCACCTGATATTCATTGGGCCAGAAGGTGCTGACAGCCAGCTCAGCCTGGTGCCACTGACGGCCCTGGGATCCGGTCATATTCCAGACAGTGCTGCCCAGGGGGCCTCCATTAACACGCACATAGACACCCAGGGTGCCAGGGCTGTGCCCGTCCCGGCTGTATAGGAAGTAGCTGAACTGCACACAGTGGGTGTCGTTCTCACTCAGGCTCTGAAAGATGACATGGGCCCGCTGGCCTGAGGCATGCTGCGAAGCGTTGACCATCAAGTAGGCACCTAGAGAAAGAGGAGGAAGAGGAGCCAAGAGAGGGGCAGGTGGGCACTGAGAAGGGGGCAGAAACAAAGGACTGCGGGTACTTGAGCACACCAGGCCTCACAGATTTAGATTCTGCATTCTGCACTCTGGTCCCAGATCTGACTCAGCGATCGGATTCAGTGATCCAACTCCCTCCCCTTAGCAGCATGTTGCCTAAAGAAGAGCACTGAAGCTTCGGAAAACACACAAACGTGGCCTTCCAAAAACCCACTGTGGCTCCTCACCATCCGCAGGTCACAGTCCAAGTCCGTGCCCTACCCAAGACATAGCTTTCAGTGCTCGGTGCCACACTTGAAGGCGGTAATTCATCTCAGAAGTCAAGAGCCTGGCACATGATAGGCTCTCCGAGGCCTCAGCTTCTAAACCCTCCTACATCCCACAGTGTGCTTCCCTCAGGTCCTAGATCATTCATAAAGCACAGGTCTGTCTCCCCACCAGCCTGCAGCCTCTGCTGTGCCCCTGCAGGGCTCTGAACCCAAGCTGAATGAATATGTGGGACAAAGACTGAATGAATGGATTTGCTTCCCTTCCCGCCCCCACTTGGAGTCTAGATTGCTGGGACACAAACTCTTGATTTCCAACCCCGAGAAGGGCAGCCCTGGCTCTTCCCTGAGGATCCAAGCTGTATGCTTTTGGGAGGCAGGGGGAGGAGAACGACGAGGATGCCAAACGACCTGGCTGGGCACTGTGGCTTCCCATCTGGGGGGAGAGGCCCCAGCAGCTGCCAGGGGGAGGCTCACAGCCACCTAGCACCGCCTGCTCCCAGGCTTGGCTGCCAGCCAACATAAGCACATTCGGATCTTCTCCAGGAGGGCTCCCCAGGGTCTGGCTGGAAGGAATCTCATTCATCCCTGTGAGTCAAAAGCCTGTAGAGGCAGCTCAGAATCAGTCCTGGCAGGGTAGTAAACAAAACTCTTATCCCATCCAGGAAGGGGCACATCCTAGCCCTGATACATTCTCTGTCCTCCTCCAGTGAGCAGCTCCCCTTCCGATCTGACCCTTTTTTCTTTCCTCTTCCTCCTTCCTCTGCTTCTCTCTTCTTACTCTGCATCCTTCCCCTCTCCTTCATCTACTCCCTTTGTCACTATGGCTCTCCCTACTCTCTCCCACTCTCTCTGCAGAGTGTGATCTCTATCCTTCATGCCACACACCCTCATCGACCTTCCCTAGACTGTGAGCACCAGAAGGGCAGGGCCTGTGGACTTGCTCACCCCTCTTGGGTCTAGCTCCAGCCCCACACCAAACACCAAGCTGCTCACTCCCTTTTCTCCCTGGGTGCAGCTCTGCTTGAGAGAGAGAAAGCGAGGCAGAGGCCACATGGGTGAATCCAAAGCTACTCTCTTCTACTTGAAAGTCAAGCATGTGTCGGGCTGCACTGGACCTGGAGATGTGGAGAGGCCCACACAAGGTCCCTGCCATGGGGTGCTTGTTAGAGCCTTCTCAGGCAAATCACATGGTGACACTAGCTACTGCAAAGGGTTACAGTGGGCCCTGGAGAGGCAGGTCTGCCCCAGGGTGGAGGCAAGTTCACCAAATTCATAGAAAGGGAGTGAGGACAGGACCAGAAGTGGGGGACAAGTCTGCAGAGGCCCTGGCCACCTCTGTGACAGGGCAGGCTCTTTCACCTCTGTGACATGGGGGCTCTTTCAGCTGTCCAGTTCTGGCATTCCCTCAGAAAGCCCTTTGGTTCTTACACCATTTGTGTCCTGAGACACAGGTCTTACCAGCAACAGGGTTAATTTGCCCTCCAACCATCTTATCCTTTTCTTAATTTCCAGTTGATTCTGCACCCAGTGGAGAGGGCTACCAGTAAGTGAGGCCCCTCAAGTATCTCCAACAAGAGCAACTAAACACCTGACCCACTTTGTGCTACCCCTGTGCTCTGCTCTTTATGGGCATATCTAGTGGTCCTGCAAAATGGGTTACTCTTCTCTCACTTCACAGTTAAAATAACGGAGGAGGCTCAGAGAAGTTAAGTGACTTGTCCAAGGTCACAAAGCTGATAAGATGATGAGCCAGGATTTGAACCCATGTCTTTACAACTGTGGAATGAGCACTATGGAGTCATCATTTGAGTAGGAGGCTGGTACTGTACCATAATCCACATTGTTAAATTCCCACTCCAGTGCTCAAAGTGCCCAAAGTGCCCCATCCTGAGGAAAGCAGAAGTTGGGAAGGCTTGGAACCCCAGGAAGATGGCAGGGGAACATCCAACCCCAAGGTCCCTGTCTGTCAGCATCTCCTAGTCTGGGAAGGAGCAGGATTCAGAGACTTTGGGGGAGAACTAGGGAAGACTTGCTGGGAGTGGGGTGGACCCTGAGCCAACCTGCAAAGGGGAGTGCTGGGAAGTAGGTTCTAACTAACAACTACAAGGCCCTTTGATGACTTAAACCTGCACCCATTTCACAAGTGAAGCTCCTTGTCATGCACAATCAGGCAGAGTCCAGAGAGCTACACATCTAGTGCCGTGTATACCATTACAGACAAGGCCCAGAGAGGTTAAGTAATGTGCCCAAGGTCACAGAACAGGCACGTAGAACTGCCCCTAAAAGGAGATGAGGGAGGCATGCTGATGGAGAAGAGGCTCACCATGGGGGAGATCCGAAGGGGCCCGGGTGCCAGGGTGGATCCACACTTGCTCCCACTGGAAGTCATCATACTGAGCCTGGCTGTACTCACAGGGCACTGCTGGGTCACTCGTCTCTTCAAAGGTGCAGCCAGCTGCGAGGATGGGGCTGGTTATCCAGGGCTAAGGCAGGGTTGTGGCCAGAAGGCTCCCCCATATTCCCCCACTGCCCACTCCTTCCACCCAGATACACCCCCTCCCTCCTCTTCACTGCTTCTTCCCACCAGCAAAATTCTCCCTCCTCCATCCTCTTCTGCTCCCAAGGTCCCTCCCTGCACTGTCCCTTCCCAAGACCTCTTGCACACAGTCCCAGTACTTCCCAGACCCCCCTCCCACTGCATGACCACTCAACAAAATGCTCCTTAATAAAAATTAGCTATTATTATTTTATCACTGTGACCTCACAACAACCCATGAGATCAGGACTAGAATTATCTCCAATTTACTGATGAAGAAACTGAGGCCCAAAAAGGCTGAGTGACTTTCCTGGAAGTCACACAGCTAGTGACAGAGAAGGGCTTTGAGATCTCCTGACCGTACCTCAGTGTTCCTCCATCCTCACTGTGCCAGGCAGAGTGGGCCCCAGGCCCTGCAGAACGCTGAACACCCTAAACCAGCTCAACAGTATCTCAAAGATAACAACAGTCACCGCCCTGCAGGATGCGAACCACTAACGCAGAGTGTGGCTGAGGCCTCACCTTCCGAGTCAAGTACCACTATTCCTACTTGATGAACATCAAGGGGATTCAGTCATGGCCCAAAGTCAATCAATCTAGGTCTCTGCTTGAAGGAACTGACACACAAAAGCACTGTCCCATGTGGCTTTCTCATGTATGACTACAGCAAGCAAATTCCCACAATTCAGAACCAATATAAACAGTTTAAATGGGAAAGGGAGGCAGGTAGGAAGACTGGCTTAGACGTGGGTCCTCTGGTTGGCAATAAGGTCCATACAGCTTAGCTAGCTTGTCAAAATATGCAGCAAGAGACTTCACTTTTAGGAAGCTGTGTGTTTTGCTATTGCAGTGGCTTCTCTATGGGGTTATGTGGGTTACATGAAGTGGCGAGACACTAAGGAGCTTGCCACCATTTGGGTCTCCCTTTGCTCCTCTTGGACACCAACCAAATGTAAAGTGGTAAGATGTGGGCATGAGGCTGGCACCAAATAGATGGAACGAAGCACAGAGCTGGGGCCAGCCCCTAGAGGGGCTCTTCGCCTTTTTGTTTGAAAAGCCTTGGTCAGCACCATGCCCTGTGGCCTGTGGAAGGCGGGTTTTAACCCTATCCACACTGGGAGGGCCTCAGAAAAGGACCCATGGTACAGCACTAAAAGAGCAATGGTCAGGGAGGGCTTCATAGAGGAGAGGGATAGCTAACTTCAGCCTGGGTGGGGCCTGACCCCATGGGTCTCAGCCAATCACTGATCACAGGGACTGCAGAAAGGGAAAGTCCAGGATCTAGAGCCCTGGCTGGGGCTCAGGTCCTTCCTGATCCTTAACCAGAACAAGGCAGCTGCCCCAGGATGTCTCACCAGGGCCCTGGGGTGGGCCTGGGAGTGTCAGCTCCTTGGCTTCCTCCTGCACATCCTAAGCCAGCCCAGTGACCCACCAGGACTCCCAGACCAGCTGATCTTCTCAGACTGATGCCCAGACTGAGGTCTCTGCTCAGAGTAACTCCAGACCATCTGACCTCAGGCAGAGAAACCCTCAGACTGACCCAAACTGGTGACCCTCAGATAGGCTTAGAGCAGCTCCCAGCTGATCATCCCTTGTCAGACGATTCCCTAGACTATCTGATGTCACTCAAAGTGACCACCAGACCAGCTGACTCCAGCCAGAGTCCTGACCTCTTGCCAAATGACCCCTGTAGATGACCACAGCCAAGGATGACTTCTCAGGATGACTGATTCCATCCAGAGTGACCCCTTAGCCAGAACGACACCTCTCCCTGATCTGCAGCTGTCCCCAGAGCTGAGTCTCTGGCCAGGCCCAGTTCTAGCTTCAGTCCCTAGGGATAACACCTCTGAGGTCAGGCTCCCAAAGCAGAGGCCACCCCACCTCTCCCCAGCTCACCCAGTGATGGGACTATCGGCTATCACAGGACTAGGAAAGACCCTGTCACCTCCAGCCTGGATAGCTCAGGGACCAGGAGCCCCAAAGCCACGTCCCAGCTCTTGCTAGAGACCCAACTCCTACTGGAGACTGCTAACCTGGGAAGAAACTAAGTCTGACTTTGATAGCCTGGGATCCCCGACTCCACCAACACAGACACATACACAGACCAACACCACCCCGAGGGGGCACTAGTTACACAATGACGGCCTTTGGAGGGACTCCTCGGCACCTCAGAAGGTTACTACTTTTATCCTTCCCATTTTGCAGATGGAAACTGAGGCTCAGAGGCAGGCAGTTGCTTGCCCAAGGCGACACAGTTACAATGTAGAGAAGCTCAAATTTAAGCAGCCTCTCCTTATTCAAGGAGCAAAGCACAAACAAAATAAAGCCCTAATATGCTGTTGGCTACATGTGTTAATTTAGTTAGTTTCATGCACAAGACATTTATTCCCTGTCAGTACACTGCAGTTCCCAGGGTGGCACTATTAGAGGCACAAGATGATTAAGACTCCACCTTGCTTTCAGGGACCTCCCAGTCTGAGTGGGGGTGAGGAAAAGAGACAAAGCAGAAATGGGTCCAGGCTACAAGACGGAGGGGGCTGGATGTAAAGCTCCCTGTAGAAAGCGAAGTCTGAGCTGAAAGATAGCGATCACTCCAGCCAGTAAAGATGGGTAGGAGGGCAGGCAGGGCAAAGGGTGGCATGAGCAAAGGAAGACAGTGGGCAAACAGTTCACCCACAGCACAGAGAGGAGCCCAGACTGGCTGAGGCAATGAGAGATGAAACTGGAGGGAGGGGAGGCTGAGTCCAGATCATGAAAAGCCTTAAATGCCAGGGTGAGGAGTTCAGCCTCATTTTAAGTGCCTGAAGTGCAGAAAAGTGCCTAGTTTCTGATGAAATGAGCAATACAGCTATAAGTGGGGCAGGTGGTGTCTCACAGGATCAGGAGGGAGCTCAGGACCAAGCCACCACTCTGGAACTGGTAAGGAAAGAGGCCTCAAGTCCCCACCCTGGATGCAAACAGCACACACTCCAATCACACTCAGAGAGGTACACATCACACACACACACAGCAGCACACTCAAATGTTCGCACACACACACATACACACATCCTTTATTTCCCCCAGCTAATCCAAGCCCTGGGGACATAGTCTAAGTTTGCTTGGGAATAGGGAGAAGACCAGGCCCTCCTTAGACACCCCATCTCCATGGAGGACTCCCCAAAAGATTGGGCTGAATCAACTCAGGACCCCACCAGCTTCCTCAGCCCCAGATCAAACTGGGCCAGCTACATTCCTCAGCTAATCTCCCCAATCTGGCTGGCGGTCGCCTGAGCAACTGTCAGCCACAATTTGGGAAGGCAGGGGATGTCTTATCCACC